GGCGGCCCAGCCCTGCACCACCTCCGCGTGCAGACGGCGCAACAGCCAATTCCCGCAGGAAGTGCACAGCCCCATGCGCACCCCGCACGGGGGGAGGAGGACGGAGGAGGGAGGAGACGACGGAGGGGGAGGAGGAGGGGGGAATCTGTACACGTATACGCAAATCGTTTGCGCAGCCCTGGGCGCGCATGCACATGCGCATCTCGGAAGGTCTGCAAGAATGTCTCAGGCGAAGAAAGCGGGAACACTATGGAGCAATGCACTTCCGCAGTCGGAGTTGCGAGGAAATCCAAAGCGAAGCGGGTTCGACTACTGCTTCTTCCTCATCCTTTTCCCCTTGCTTCGTTTGCTAGCTGGGTGGTAATCGTTACTTCTCCTCCGCGCTCCTTTATCTGCTCCTCGTTCTATTTGTCCTCGTATTCTTCTGTGCCCGTTTCTTTCCCCCCATTCCTCCTGCTTCTCCTCCTGTTTCTCCTCCTCAGTCCTGTGCCGATTGAGCTGAACCGGAAGAGCTGAAGAGGATGAGGAAAAGGAGGAGGAGGAGGAGGATGAAGACGAGGAAGAGGATGGGGACGACGACAACGACGACGACGAAGAAGGCGACGACAAAGAGAAGGGATAATGAGAGGGGAGACCGCTGTGTTGGGATCTCGTGGTACGCCTCTCGGGGGCCTCTGGGAGGCAGTTTTGAAGCCTCTTGGGGGCTGTTTGTGGGCCTCTTGGGATCTTTTTGGGGCCTCTTGGGGGCCTCTTGGGGGCTCCTTGGGGCCTCTGGGGAGCCTCTTGGGGCCTCATGGGGCCCTCTTGGGGCCTCTCGGGGCCCGCTCGCGGCGGAAAACTTAAGTTTTGAATTTTTGGGCGCCCTCTTGGGCCTCTCTTGGGGCCGTCTTGGTGCTCTCTTGGGCCGCCTTGGGCGCCTCTTGGGCGGTCTTGGAGCCCTCCTGGACCGTGTTGGGGCCTTCTTGGGGGCCTCTTGGGCAATACTGGGGCGATCTAGGGCCTCTTGGGCCGTGTTGGAGCGTGGGGAAGCGGAAAAAGCGAGAAGGCCAAAAACATCGAAAAACACACAGGATCAACCATTTTAGCCTCTCGGGGCTCTCTTGGGAGGCCTCTTGGGGGTCTCTTGGGGCGTCTTGGAGGCCTCTTGGGCAGTCTTGGGCCCATATTGGGCGTCTTGGGCCGATCTTTGGGTGTCTCGGGGCCCTCTTTGGCCGTCGTGGGGGCTTCTTTTTTCGCGTCGGACTCGCAGGACGGACCTGCCTGGGGGGTCCAGGAGGACCGGAGATCCACGAAAGCACTCTGCAGGAGCGCCCCAGAGGCTCGGGGAGGCCGAAATTCGTTTTGGGGGGGGGGGCACCGTGTGCCGCTTTTCCGGGGTCCCCGTGCTTGTAAAAATATATAAATAGGAATACATATATATATAATATATTATATATATATATATATATATATATATATATGTATGTGTATATATATATATATATATATATATGTATATGTGTATATTATGTTTAGATGCGCGCCCCCAGCCTGCGCGGGAGCGCCGCCGTATCCAAACATAGCGATGTTCAATCATATCTAAAACGCGGGCACCATACATACATTTTTCTTAAAGCAAGCATATGTGTGTATATATATATATATATATGCTCGTATGTCTTTTCAAAAAAATGGCAGTGCCCCGCCGTATCTATTCGTACCTAGTGCTTGTCATAACGAAATCAGTTGGCTGTGCTCCTGGCGCGAACCAGATCCACGATATTGGTCGAAGCAATGAGCAACGGGATGGGGACAGTGGGATGCCGTAGCGATGAGGAGTGAGGAAACGAGCGACGACGACAAAAACGACGAGGAGCAGGATGGATAGCAACGACGAACCGAAATTTAGGAGAGAACTGGGTAATTGGGAACGGGGAGCCGTAGGATGGGGAGAGCAAAGAGGAGGAGGAGGAGGAGGAGGAGGAGGAGGAGGAAAAGGAGGAAAAGGAGGAAAAGGAGGAAAAGGAGGAGGAGGAGGAGGAGGAGAGGGATGGAGGATGAGGTCGACTGCGAAGGAGAAGCGATGGCGTGTGGTTGGGGGAACAGCCAGGAGCAGGAGGCACAAAAACATGACGCAGGAAATGTGGGAGCTTAGCGATGATGGGGCGCTGAAGGGGCAGAAATGTACCATGGAGGGGGTAGGGCTCCGCCTGTTTCCCGTTCCCCCCTGGAGCGTATTGTGCTTGCGTAAGAGCCTCATGGGGGTCCGAGACGGCCCAAGAACGCTCCAAGATGTCCCACTGCGTTTCTTCGATCGCCTCAGAAGCTTCCAGAAGGCTTCAAAAACGCTCCTAAATGACCCCCGAGAAAGCCCAGCAAAGCAAATGTCGATGAATTAAGCGGCCCAAGATGCCTCAAAAATTGCCCACTCGCCCACTGCTAGCCCAAGGAGCCCACTAACAAGGCCTCATGACGAACCCAAGAAGGCCCTGAGAAGGCCCAACGGGCTCCCAAGACGGCTCAAGAGGCATTCAAGAAAGGTCCAAGAGGGGCCCAAGAGAGGGAACTCGAGCAACAAGTTCGAGCCCTCTGCCCCGAGACGACCCTCGAGACAACCAGCAGGCCTTCAAGAGATTCGTCAATTCGCGCCAACTGGACAACTTCTTGTAACTAAATATGTTGTCCCGATACTGCCCTCGTTCTGGCGTGGCCTCCCTGGAGTAGGAGATATGGTATGGTAGCATCAGTATGGTAGGCGTTGTATGGTGTGGTAGGTATGGTATGGTATGGTATGGTAGGTCGAGTATGGTAAGTATGGCATCGCATGGCATGATATGGTAAGTATGGTATGGTATAGCAGGTTTGGTTTGGTATGGTATGGTAGGTATGGTATGGCAGGTGTGGTGTGGTAGGTATGGTATGGTAGGTAGGTGTGGTATTGGTACGGTACGCATTGGTATGGCATAGTAGGGAGGCGGGAGAAGGAGAAGGATCAGGAGGAGAAGGAAAAGGAGAGGGTGTTCTAGGAAAACAAGAACCCCACTCAGGATGTAGGGAACAAGAACCCACTCAGGATGTGGCGAACGAAGAGACGAGACGATGAGCACCGAGGAGCGCGGATGAGGAGGATCCAAGAGGAGTGAGGAGCGATAGTGGACGATATTGGGCGCGCGCAGAAGACATGGCGCTGTATCTATTCGTATCTACTTTTGGTCGACACGTTTCCCAGCGATGGGCGCCACATTGAGCCGTATCTAAACATTTCTAAACATATCTATTCGTATTTAAAAATGGCCCATACCTAAAATTTGGAAGAAAACATACCTCCCGTATCTAAAACTAAGATTTTGTATCTAAACGTATTTATGTTTGAAGCATATCTATTCGTATCTAATTTTCTGTACGAAAACGCTTTACAACACATATGATTCAGGGAGGATTTTTAGATACCAGGCGGTCCTTCCGAATGCAGCTGCCGCTGGGGAAATGATCAACCAAAACAGATTTTTAGATATGTCTTCCAGGGGTTATTGGTTCCGGGCCGATGTCGGTGGGTTCCGGGTCCCCGGGTTCCCGGTCGATCTCCTTATCGATCAAACCATCCACTGCTTGGGGTTTTCCTCTGGTGTAATGTTTTGTCGAGGTTAGAGGTGTTCGACGCTTTTCGTCGGTTCTTGGCGGTTTTCCAGCCTCGAGATGCCTTCCAGCAGCTGGCCCTTGCCGAGAGTTTTCTGTGGGGGCCCAGATCGTCCTGAGCGACCGCTGGAGACCCGAGCTGCGACCCGAAAGCCGAGCAGGATCACTGGGGGGCGGGACCCCGACATCCTGGCGCCGCATTGTTGTTCGCACGCCCGGATATCCAGGGTGCTGCCATCGGGGGCCTCCAACGGCGTTGCGCGGTGACCACAGCGCGTGGTGAGTCAGAGGGGATTCAGGGTCACCGCACGGTTTTGGGGCTCGGGCCGTTCTCCGGGGAGGTCTCGGGTGACCCGGGGCCTCCGAGGTCCAAGACCATGCGGTGGCGGACGGCGCGGTGAGGCCGTTGGGGAGCCGACCCTGTTCGCAACGGGCGATGTCGCCCCGTTTCGGACCCCGGGACAATCACAGATCGGTCTGGCTCGGACCACGGAAAGATCGGGTCTAGAGTCTGGGGCCCGGGTCGTGATTTCTGTTGCTTGAGACGGCGGCAACTTCAACTCGGTCCTCGGACCCCTCCCTGTGTCCAAACGCGTCAGCTTTCCGAGCCGCGTCCGGGGACCCTCCAAAGGCCAACAACCGTTGCCTACTAGCGGGTCCTCAGCGCACCACTTTGGACGACGAGGTGGACACGCTTGAGACGATCGATGACGACGAGTCCCCTGCCAGGCGAGGGGTTAGGCCTGTGGCTACGAGCAGTGGCCTGCCAACGGGTCGGCGTCGCACCACTTTGCAAAACGACGACGTTGCCCCGTTCGAGGGGATCGATGACGAGTCAAAGGAGCAGCTGGAGCTCGCGGGCGCGAGGCTCCCGTGCTGCGAGAGGGCGCCCGCTCCGACCCAAAGGTCTACGAGTGCGGCGTGCCGCTGATCCTCAGCGCCTGCGTCTCCCCCTCATCCTCGGAGAGGGGGCGTACCTGCCGCGCTTGGCGGGTGCGTGGGAGCGCGGCCTCGGCGCCTGGCACCGCCGCGCTCGGCCCTCGGGGCAGACAGACCCGCGTTCCGCGGCCCGTCATCCTGCTCCTCCTCCTCCTCCTACTCCTCCTCCTCCTCCTCCTCCGCCTCCTCCTCCTCCTCCTCCTCTTCTTCCTCCTCCTCCTCCTCCTCCTCCTCCTCCTCCTCCTCCTCCTCCTCCTCCTCCTCCTCCTCCTCCTCCTCCCTCCTCCCTCCTCCTCCTCCTCCCTCCTCCTCCTCCTCCTCCTCTCCTCTCCTCCTCCTCCTCCTCCTCCTCCTCCTCCTCCTCCTCCTCTCCTCCTCCTCTCCTTGGCACACGGGGTAGCGCTCGTGGCGAGCGGCGCCGCCGCCGGCGGCGCGGCCGCCACAGC